GAGGAGGCCGGCCTGGAGGAGGAGGCCTGCCTGGAGGAGGAGGAGGCCGGCCTGGAGGAGGAGGCCGGCCTGGAGGAGGAGGAGGCCTGCCTGGAGGAGGAGGAGGCCGGTCTGGAGGAGGAGGAGGCCGGCCTGGAGGAGGAGGCCGGCCTGGAGGAGGGGGAGGCCTGCCTGGAGGAGGAGGAGGCCGGCCTGGAGGAGGAGGAGGCCGGCCTGGAGGAGGAGGCCGGCCTGGAGGAGGAGGAGGCCGGCCTGGAGGAGGAGGAGGCTGGCCTGGAGGAGGAGGCCTGCCTGGAGGAGGAGGAGGCCGGCCTGGAGGAGGAGGAGGCCGGCCTGGAGAAGGGGGAGGCCTGGAGGAGGAGGAGGCCGGCCTCTGCAGGGATACTGGAGGGAGAGCAAGGAGGTCGCCCAGAGCCAGGGTGGTGTGTGGGCCCTGCCGCTGAACTGATGTTCTCCCTGCATTTCTCTCTCTGTCAATGCAGATGAGGAGGGTCAGCCACCAGACCTTTCGGGGCAAAGGGAGGATATGGGCTGGGAGGCTCGGAGTCCTCACAGGGCTGAGAAGGAGCAAGGCCTTCCATGTCAGGCGGGCGGACCTGGATGAGCCCTCATCTGTAAAATGGGGAAAATACGAGGTGCCGTGAAGGGTCAGGATGGTACCGAATGTGGGCCCAGGACAGCACAGACCTGCCTCCCTGTGAATGGCCCGCCCTCCGTGGTCATCTCAGCCTCCGTCGTCACTGCTGCGGGAAAGACGGGACCAGGCCTCCCAGCTTCCCAGGCGGAGGAGGCCGTGTCTTCAACTTGGCCTCGGCCAGTGCAGGGTGCGAGCGTGGCAGAGTGGCATCGCGGGTGTGTCTCGGGGACAGGGGTGCGTGGGCGGAGGTTATGGGGCCCAGGGCGGGGCTGGGCAAACCTGAGGACCGTGAGTTCCGAGCCTGTGAGGAGGGGCGGCCTTACTGGTATATTGGGCCCAGCTGCAGGAAGAGCAGCTGTGGCTGCACTAAGCCCGCCTCGACCTGGGGCCGGGCTGTCTGTCACCTCTCGGGGTGCAGCGGGGGCCCTTGCTCTTTTCTTCAATTCCCTGCCATTGGCCTCCAGGCTCTTCGGGAGGGACCTGTTAGACTGGAGAGAGCCGAGGCCGCCCCACAGGCTGGCACTGGGGGCAGCAAGGGTGAGGGGTCGTCATGAGGGAGCCTGACCACCCAGGGAGAGGCCGGCCTATGGGGGTACAGACTCGGCCTGAGTGTGTTCACGTACTTGCTCTTCTGGCTGTGGCCTTGAACTAGTCCTTCGCTCGGGGCCTCAGCTTCCTGGGCTTTCTGTGGAGACCTCGGGCTTCTGATGGTCACACCAGCCTGCACTCCCTTCCCCAGGTGGACCCCCCTCCCACAATGCCGCCCCCTCCCTCCTGGGCGCGCCAGGGCAACCACGGGTTACAACATCTGGGAGGAGCCACGGAGCCCCGGCAGCTTCCTCCAGCGCCCGGATCCCTGCCGGGCTGCCGGTCCGTGGTGCTGCTCAGCCCAGAGACAGGGTGGGCACGACCCAGGCCGCCCTTTGCCCAACGCCCCAGAGGATGCCGTGCCCGTGAGCACTCACTGCTCATCAAAGCCGCACCCAATCTAGGAGGGTCAGGGGCCCGGAGGTGCTCGGGGGACAGAGCAGAGGACAGGAGGACGGGAGGCAGCTGTGGAGGTGGCCGTCTCCTGGGTCAGCCTGGATGGCCAGGTGGGCAGGCTGTGCCCTGGAGATCGAGAGAGACCAGGTGGTGACTGAGACACCCGGGTGGTGAGCAGCTGGCAGAGGGACCCTGTTCTGCAGCTGGTCAGGCCGGAGCACCGGAGCAGGACACTCCCTGAACCAGCGAGGGCCCGGGCCGTTCGCTGCCTCCTGAGGGACAGTCTCAGCCGGCACCAGGCCTTGGCCCAGCTGTGTGTGCTGTGCTCACGGCAATTTCTTTTAATATTTTTTATTGATTTTAGAGAGGAAGGGAGAGGGAGAGAAACATCAGTGATGAGAGAGAATCATGATCGGCTGCCTCCTGCACGCCCCCTACTGGGGATCGAGCCCACAACCGGGCATGTGCCCTGACCGGAATCGAACCGTGACCTCCTGGTTCATAAGTCAACACTCAACCGCTGAGCACAACGGCCGGGCTCAAGGCAATCTCTAGGCAGCAGCCCCCCAGTCTTCACCAGCTGGTGCCTGTCACACCCCCTGTCCACGAGGCCCAGCCCTGTCCTCCCGACGCCCGGCTGGCCTGGAGGGACCGTGTGAGGGAGACGGGCAGTGGAAGCTCTCGTTTCCGTTCTCCCATCTGTTCGGGGAGCAGCTGAGCCCGGTGCCTGTGCAGAGGGATGGAGAGCAGCGGGGCCAGGATGGACAGAAGGTGGGCCGCAGGGCGTGTGCACAACACACGTGTGTGCAGGGCACGCGTGTCCCTGGCCACTGCACCACCACACACACATGCTTTGGCACAGGATTCTCTAGGTCCCGGGTCCTGGAAGAGGTGGTATTTGAGTTGTTCCTACAGGGATGAGTGTGTGGGCGGAGGTGGGGGTCCCCTGGGGGGAGTGTGTGGGAGGAAACGGAAGGAGGGGCTTTCTCTGTCCGAGGGGAGCCTGCGGGTTCCCGGAGAGGCAGTGGCAGGGCTGGTTCCGACCGAGCATTTGGGAGGCGCTGTGGATGCCGCGGGGAGCAGTGAGGGCTGCGTGCGGGTCTTCCTAGGGGACCCAGGGCCTGCAGGGGGGCCGTGGGGTGAGAGCAGAGGAGACGGCCTCCCCGGGGTTCCCACGGGGCCTGAGCCCCGCTGAGGGCAGGTCACAAAACAAACTGGTGAGCCCCCTCCTTCTCCCCGTGGGGTGGTGCTCAGGAGGTGTCCCTGATCAAACTAAAGAGGCTGAATTAGGCCCCTGGGCTGGGGGTTCAGGCCACTTGCAGAGCAGGCCAGGGAGGCCGTGGGGTGTAGGGGGTCAACCCCCTTCCCATGAAGGTGACAGGGTGTGCCCCATGGGCAAGGTGCTCTTCAGACCCAGGGCTGGTGCAGCCGGTCCTGAGGGGGTGCCCCTGGGCGAGGAGATGTGCCAGCAGCAGGTGAGCAGCTGCGTGCTGAGTGTGCCAACGGCCCGGCTGGGCCGGGGCGGGTGTCTGGGAAGGCAGCTGTGCCTGCACCTCCGAGGACCCGGCGCCCCTCGGGCTCGATGAGGCCCCTTTGCGGGTCTGACAGATGCTCAGCTGCTGCAGCTGCAGAGGAGGGAAGAGCTCCCCTGAGTCTGACCCCTGGCCTTCCCACTGTCCCTGGCTCGCCGCACTGCATGCTGGGAGGTGTAGTTCTCACAGCGTCCAGCCTAATCTGGTGCCCGAGCACTTCCTGCCTGTCTGTGTTGGTTGGGAAGCAAGTCCAAGCATTCTTGTTGGCCACAAGCCTCCTCCAGATCCTAGATCCAGGCTGCCAACCCCAGCCCTTCCCTCTGCTCAGACCCACCGAAGCCCCCGCCGCAGTCCCCCAGCTCCATCAGGGACCAGGGCCCCGAGGGATGCTGAGGCCCCATGCCCCAGGGGAAGCGCAGCCAGTCAGGAACGGGCCACGCTGCCCCTTTGTAAGAGGATTTGAGGGCTGCAGCTGGATCCCGTCCCGCCAGCAAGCACAGCAGCCCGCTGAGCCCTCCCTCCACTCCCCGCTGCAGCGATGGAGGCTGTGTGTGCTGCTGGCACACAGACAGGGCCTCCGGCTGCACGGGCAGCTGGAGGGACAGAGTGGGCGGGCGGGTTCTCCACAGCAGGCAGCCTGCGCAGGCTGCATTCGTCCCTGTAGCGACTGCTCTCTGGCTCCCTGCGTAGCATCTTCCCCCCCCAAGTCTGTGGGGCTAGAGTCGTCTTAAGCCATTCTTCTTCCTCTGCACAGGCCTGGGCCTAACACAGCCAACACAACCAGGGTTCCCCTGGTCCAGAAAGCTCCCTGGGGCCCTGGCTGGTGTGGCTCAGTGGATAGAGCATCAGCCTGCAGACCGAAGGGTCCCGGGTTCGATTCCAGTCAAGGGCATGTACCTTGGTTGCAGGCTCCTCCCCAGCCCCAGGTCAGGGTGCCTGTGGGAGGCAACCAATCGATGTGTCTCTCACATTGGTGTGCCTCTCCCTTTCTCCCACTCTCTAAAACTCGTCTCCAAGAGTGCAAGTCCTGTCCCCTGTGGACACGAGCAAAGTAGGTGCTCAGCACACGCTTGCTGACCAGGTGGCCAGGCGGACGGATAGATGGAAGGATGAGTGGATGGGTGTCGGGTGGAGCAGGTGAAGAGAGGAGAGAGCATCCAGCCTGGGTGGGAACTGGAGCGGCCACAGGAGGGGAAGGTCACTGGCAGTGCAAGTTCCGGAAGAGGCCGCTGCCTCTCGGTGCCCCTCGTGGGGAGCATGTGTGAGACCAGAAGAACCTTGAGGCTCCAGAGATGCTGCTCTGGACGTGGACAGTGAGGACAGATATTCAGTAAATAATCATTGGGCAGCCCGGCCGGCGCTGACCTCTGAACCAGGAGGTCATGGTTCGATTCCCGGTCAGGGCACAGGCCTGGGTTGCAGGCTCCATCCCCAGCGTGGGGCGAGCAGGAGGCAGCCGGTCCCTGATTCCCTCTCATCATTGATGTTTCTCTCTCTCTCTCCCTCCCTTCCTCTCTGAAACCAATTTTTAAAAAAACAAACTAGATTCAAAAATAAAAATCACTGGGCGGCCATGTGGGCACCTGCGCGGAGGACACAGTGGGGACCGGAGCTCTGCCAACTCCGCCTGTGGACCCCCCACCCTCCTCCGTGCGTGGCCCTCCCAGCCTGAGCCCTTGGAAGGACTTTTCCATCCTGGAATCTCTGCCCTGGCCCCCCTGCTGCCAACAGCGCCGCACACCGCAGAGGAGGGGCAGGTGCCCGCGCAGTGAGGGAGGCTGAATCAGAGCGTGAGCTGGCAGAGACCTACCCGCAGGCCAGGACATAGGCCCAAACCCACCCTCCACCTGCAGAAAGGAGGGATGCCCAGGGCCCCAGCCTCCGGGTGTGCCTGGACCTGCGCTGTTCCTCCGCCTGGGCTGGCCGTGGTCTCCGGTGCCACCCTGTGGTGGTGCTGGGAACTGCCCCTCCGGCCTCTGGCCTGGCCCCACTGGCCAAGAAAGTCACCTGCCCAGCCTCTCTTCCGTTCTCCTTTCTACCTTTCCTGCCTCTCGCTTCCACTCTGTCCTCAGTGTGACCGTGTCATACACACACATTAGCACGGCACACGGCTCGCCGTGGCACAGGGGTGTGTGCCCAGGTGCCCTCTGTCCCCTGTAGTACCAAGGCCCGTGCTCCCACGCCCGTTCCTACACATCCTGGCGACCCCCACCCCTACCCCACCGTGCCTGCAGGGCCAGGCCACAGCCCTGGTTTCCGGCACTTGCTGGGTATCTATGGGGCCAGCCCCCGGGAGCTGGTCCTCCTCCTTATGCTCCAGGGGCAGGTGAAGTCAGGGGGCCCGTGACCGCAGGTGTGGGCAGAGGCAGTGGTGACATTGGCACGGGCTGGACATGCAGGAGCCCAGGCTGCGTCATGGCCGGTGGCTGTGGGCAGGTCACTGAGTGTTCACGGGCAGTGACAGCAGCCTGCTCCACGGGGCGACGTGGCCGTGATGCATCGGTGGGCACGGGGTCAGGGTGGGCCGGCACCACAGCCAAGGAGGTGGGCACAGAGGCTCTGGGGCCACCCAGCTGCCTCTGCCTCCCCTCGCCCTGCAGCCTTGGGGGGGCGGGCGCTGGAGTTGTCTGTCCCCGGGCCTTGGGCCCACTCCCTGGCCGGCCTCCCCCTTCCCTGCCAACGAGCGGACACTGACCGCCCCCCGTCTCTTCCTCCCCCAGAATTCCCCTACACCCCGTCGCCTCCGGAGCACGGGCGGCGGGCCGGGCCGGTGCCCACGGCCATCATCGGGGGCGTGGCGGGGAGCGTGCTGCTGGTGCTGCTGGTGGTCGGGGGCACCGTGCTGGCCCTGCGCCGGCGCCGCCACACCTTCAAGGGCGACTACAGCACCAAGAAGCACGTGTACGGCAACGGCTACAGCAGGCGGGCGTCCTCCAGCACCACCCGCGCTGGGTCAGAGCTGCAGTACCTCGACGACTCGACGACGAGAGAGTCGGCCGCTGGGGGCAGCAGCTA